TTTAGTCAGTTATCTGCCATTACGTTTCTGAGATACAGGCCCACCAAAAGGAAAGAAACAAAAAAATCCTCAGTGCAAACAAAAAAAACTTTGTAAAATTATTTGCAGACCTGGAGTAACCACTCCCAACAAATGTAAGGCATGTTCTGTTCCCAGAGTTTCTTTTGGGTTGATTTTTTTTTTTTTTCTTTAGGGGAAGGTAGTCAGGGGGAAGGGAGGGAAGACAGAACTTCTGTTTTTCCATATGTCTCCATATGTCTTACACAACCCAACCAGCACCACGAATATAGGATATTCGAAAAGACAAACTGGCTTTAGATGGGAAAGCTTTGGAGAAACATAGCATCTCTTTGGTACTAGAATTTCAGCTTCAAACCAAAGCTGTGGTAACTCTGCTTTGAGTAGCGTTTTCCTCTTCCTTCGCAGCAGAAGTGCGTAGTAGAGTCAAGTTCGGAGTCCGAGTCCGAATCCTGTGCAGAGGTAAGAACTGATTCTCTGGAGCATTTTGATGGTGATGGGGTTCCCTGGTGGGTGTCCAACTTTTCCATCAGTCTCAGCGGGGAGAGCCCAAGGTGTGGTTGCTGGGGTTGTTGGGTTTGTGACCATAAAAGCAGAAGAGAAAAAAACCTAACAGTCCCAAAGCCAACACTGTTGTATCCATTTCTTTTTTACAAGTGTTACTACTTTAGCAAAATTGATTTTGGGCGGATGAGGCAGGAAAGTGCCAGTGTTTCAGGCAGACAAATGTAGCATAAAGTACTTCTTAGAAGTGCTTAAAGCTGCCCTGGGTTGTTTCTGGTGGTTACCTTTCAGTAGCTCTGGTCCAGCAGAGTTTCCACAGCTCTGGGTGAACCTCAAACCTTCTGATTATTTATATTGGATGAGATTAAGAGAGCAGCTCTGTTGCTGTGGCAATCAGTTATGAACACTGGTAACTTCCTGAACATTGTTCTGTCAACTGAGTGTGCTAAATTTTGATGAAACAAAAGACCTGATTCCAGAGTGGAGAGCTAAACAATTTCTGGGTAAAATTCTTCAGCACTTGATGCTTGCTATTAGTCCATGCGAATTGCTTATAGAGTATGTAGGGAGTCTCCCTACATAGTGCTTTTTTTGGGGTGTTTTTTTGTTTGTTTGTTTATATAGACCCAGACTATAAGCACTACTTCAGAATGATGTGGCTCTGAAGCATACATTTATGCAGGAAATTCTTTGTCCAGGTCTGGACATGTTTAACTACGTCAGGGAAAGAATCTTTGCCTGAAACCTCCTCAGTGCTACAGCAGCGATATTGAGGCTGACTGAAAGGCCTCGATTTGCTGTATTAGTTACAGAACTGTCTAAAGGACAAGAAATTTGTGATCCAAGCAACAAGAATTTTGAATCATCCCTATGCGAAACAACAAAAAGGGACCTCAGTGGGAGGGAAGCTTTCTAAACCCTAAAGTATATCTTGTCTAATATTAGTTAAATGCTGATTTAATTTACTTTTCTGGTGGTGAGATATCCCATTACTCATTGTTCTCTTCATAGCAGAGTTTTTAGTGCAGCGAGACTTGCCATAGCTCTCCTCAGTCCTTCTATTTTAGGCTAACCTCAGCACGCCTTTATAAAGCTAGACCGAGACACACTTTCTACTGCCTTTCAGCAAGGGGACAATCTGGCTTCCTCTTCTCTACAATTTTTACACGCTCTGGTTTCACTTTGATCAGTGATAAGACACTTTGATCGCTTCAAAGGAAGGTGCTCTATAAACCTATGTTAATGTCTCTTACATAGGTTGTGCCTGGCCCACTTGCTGGAGGAATCAAGAAAGTGAGGGACTCCAGGGGATTGCAAGTAGGTTTGGTTATTATGCAGCAGCTTTGTTCTCATTGTAGCATCCAACTATTAGCATATAGCTGGGAATGTGTGGATAAAAACTTCCATAGTAAGTCTGTGACTTGCATTTAAAGTGGTTTTAAAGCCTACTGTATGTTGCCTTTTCTATTTTTTTTTCTTAGTGGACATATAAGCATCCATCATATTTAGGGAGATCTTTATTTCAGTTTTTAGATCCTTATGATGGTGACTCAGAAGATGCATCCACCTATTCTGACTGTAGCTTAAGTTCTCTAAGTAGTATAAAAGTTGCACCACAGGTGAACAGTGTCCCAAAAGCAACGGCTTGGGAAGATACTTTGGAAGATGGAGAGTCCTTCCCTAAATCTCCAGCCTGGCTCTGCCCAGAAACAAAAGTCAGTGACATTCAGGCAGTAAATGACTGTAAAGCACCCTTGGAACTTCCTAGCCAAGAGAAGGATTTCCTGAGAAGCCCGTGGCAATTATCGGAAAAGCCCAGAGCCACAGAAGCACTTACTTCCATGCAGCTGACACCTGACCATTCCTTACTGGTGAGTATTAACCCTCCAGCCTCTGCTGATCTCCCTGCAAGCCCAAGTGAGAGCACTCCACACCCCACGCTGGCAGCTGACTGTGATGGTACAATGGCTGAACAGCCCCTAATTAAGAGAAAACAAGGGATTCTCGTTCCAGAAAGCGCTAGTGAAAAATTAAGAAGGAAGAAATTTCGTGCAACTTAATCTGAGGTATGAAGAAATCATTGGATAAACAGTTTGTTCCTAAGAATGAATCTGGTAGATATTCTTTTGCAGATGGTACCTGAACAAGCTTTAACCAAAGTAGCTCAAGCCTGCTACAAATGCAGCTGTGCTGTGTACTGTAAGCCTTGAGATGCACCTGAAAAGGTAGAATCAAGTAAACAAGCTGGTGTGGTAGTTTAATGAAAACTACCTGAGGTTTGTCCGCAGGATCACAGCTGAGCTTTGTGCCTGGGGCCTAACTCCTGTACCTGGAGGCATGCGCTCGGTTTCAGCATGATGTCAAAAAAACTATTACAGGGTTTGTTGAGGAGGGAAGGCGGAAGGACTGTATAGCGGTAATTGGTTTTCAAGAGCTATAGCTCACCTCACACCGCCTTCATAGCAGTGTTTGGCTCTTCATGTGTCTGACTGATGTGATGACTGTATGAGGAGGGAAGTACCTGGGCAGTGAATGATCTTGGGGGTTCGACTAGAAACAACTGAATTGCATTAAGCTGAACTGACTGGAATCTAGCCTTTTTTTTTTTTTTCCTCCTTTTCAAACGGGGAGACCTGTGTTAATAAAGATACCTGTTCCAAACTGTTTTGAACAATGTTTTAGGCATACAGTGTCAGTATACCTGCCAGTTTAGAATTTGCAGTGTGAAGTTGAACATATTAGCTGAAGGCAGTCTTATTCCTTAGAGCAATTATGAGCTGCAGAAATAGTGCACACAGATGGGAGGCCAGTTAGTCAGCACAATCTCTATTTCTGATCTCCTTCTGTATGGTAATTTCTATCACCTTCAGAGTTTGGGTAGTCTGTGTGGAAGAGGAATTACAATCTATAAAAACATAATGATGGCTTGAAAGAATTTGGTAGCAACTACTTGTGAAAGTGCTCCTTCTGTGTGATTGGCACAGGTTTTCAATTTGCAGTTTCTTCATAAGGCGTAAAGCCAGTCGAAATACTATGTAACTTCTAGCCTTGCACCCTTTTGCTAACAGCTACATATTTATTTTATTAAAGCAACTTTGTTTTCATATTTATTCTCAACCTGGAGATAAGGGTCTTTTCTAATCAGCTTGGAAACAAACTGGTTAGAATAGTGAGATTCAGAGGCCTTTGACCCAAGACACCAGCTACTGTGCTCACTCTCCCACTTGTCCCAGCAACAAGGAATGGTGCAGTGACTGCAGTTACTGTAACTGTGAACAAAAACCTTGCAGCTGCAGATTTCTCTAGAAGTAAGACTGATGAAGAGCTTCCCCCCTTCAGGGAAGTCACACCTGTTTAAGCCCTAGCTGTGTGCTGAATAGTCCTCAGCCACCAGAGCTGAGGCAAAATAAAATTTAACTACTGACCTTCCAACTACAGCCAAGAATCATGAACTTGTCTAATGAGGATTTCACTCGCACCCACGATTTAGCATACTGTGCTGAAATAATCCCCTACAGAAAAAAATAATACAGGAACAAGGAGGAGAGAAAAGTTGAAGGGGTAAGACAGATGGGACAGTAAATAACCAGATGTTCAAAGTCTGCTTATTCAGTGTGAGAATCCAGCTGTGGATTAACTGCTAAACTGAAAACACACCTTTTGTTAGTTCAGGCTGAATGCAGAGATTGACATGAAATGTTGAGTAGTTTGGGAAGCTCTAGCTACTTCAAGCATATTTGAGACTCTTGATCTTATCACTAGTACTTGCTAATACAGGGAACTGGTTTAACTGAAGGTTTTTATAGTAGCTATAAGCTGGTACCACAGCCCAGGTGCTGAGCTATGTACAAAAAGTACATGCAGAAGTATGCTGAGAGAAAGGTGCTTGTTCAGCTGAGCTGCTGACAGCTAGAACTGGTACCCAGAGCACACTGCTGGCAGGAGGACAGTGTATTTGAAATGAAACGGGAGGGAGTGACAGTACGATTTCCAGATATTAATATTCTGGTGATAGAAAAGAAAGCAACTCACAGAAGCTGGAGCAGCATAAGCACATTAGTTCTTCAGAAACTTAAAGCACGCACCTTAAGAAAGCAGAAGCCCCATGATCGACAGGACCATTAAGTCTTGTTTAGGATACGCTAGCTTCTGAATGCATCTTGGCAGCTGTGTAAACACAGGTTACTCCAAGCAAGAGCCAGTTCATTGCAAATAATTCACGCAATGGCATCAGATGTCACAGCAGATCATGTAAGGGTTTGTGTCTCACTGCACTGAAGACTTATTTTTCAAAGCTGTTGGTAATGGAGGCAAGCTGAACCAGCTGCTGAGTAAGCTCTGTGAGGGTCAGCAATCTGCTTGAATACTGACTCAGTACTTATTATTCTGTGAAAACATCATAGGTACCGTTTTTCCAGACAATAAAAAACAAAAACAAACCTGCAAGAATTGCATTTCCAGAAATAGAGTCAAAAGTCTTGCTACACATTTTATTTCATATGACATGATCCACTGAATACCACATCTACCAACAAACCGTGTAAAAAAAATCCCATCCAACTTTCCTTCGAAGACATCTAGCCTACCAGCTCTCCAATGTACTGCCTCCTTTCTTTCTAGTCAACTTAGCACAAATCCATCTGACAACCTAACCAGGTTACAAAAGTACAGGTAACTGCTACATAGAAGACTGACAATTACTACAGAATTAACCAGTCAAAACAAATCTTTTCACTCCGTGCAGAGAACCGCAACACCACGTTCATAGAAGCTACGGGGATCTTCCTTGGTAGCTATTTCAAAGTCAACCGTGAAAATCAGATCAGCACGAGTGAAGTTCAGATAAACTGGTAAAGTAACCTGGGGAAAAATGTGAATATAGAAGAAGAGTTATGTAAGGTAGCTGAAGAGTTTAAGAAGTTTCTATAATACTACATGTAATTTATGAGATGGGAATTTAGTCTTGGGTAACTCAATACTCCAAATATGAGAGAAAAAAAACAGGCCTAACACTCACCTGAAGGCCAGATTTCTTTATAAGTATAAATTCACATTTTGGCCTGAACATACTAGCATTTTTGGATACACGTCCTTCTTTGTAGCTAGATTAAAGAAAGACCTAGTCAACACTAAGTCTGTTGCTGCTAGCCTGAAATTTAGGCACTAACTGACACTAAGAATATTAGAAAAGAAATGATTGTGGTGCTCAATAAAAGTATCCGTTAAAGCCTCAGGAAAAAAAAAAAGCTAGGTGTTTGTGAGAGTTCTTTTAAAAATTATTTTTACCGACACTTACAACATTTGCTTTTTTATCAGCATTTGTCTGCTTGATCCAGCGAAGCTGTGTAATGGGCAGTACAGTTGAAATAGCATTTGAAAGCGACAGCTTGTTGTTACTGCACGTAGCTCCCTGAAGCTTCAGGCCTGTAAATGGAAACACACTTTAGAGTTCTAAGAGCTTTGACACATTCAGACAAAAACTGTCTCCCTACGCATTGTTTAAGTCTGCTAAATGAGAGGGAAGTGTTTAATACTACAAAATAGAGTTTGCAGAAGATAAACCATCTGTGGGGAAAATAAGGAAAGATTGGCGAGGAGGACTGTAAACACATGCATGTGACTTGCAGCTGGGGTGCTGAAAGACACATCTATTAACTTTTGTCTGTCCTTGGGGGTTTGACCAGAACATTGCACTCAGATAACACAGCTCTGTGATAGACTCAGAGGCACCGTATCAAAACATGCTTGAGATTCCTGCTCTGCTGCGGGAAAGATCAAAGCACAGTGGAAAACTATGCCTGCAAAGATCCCTGATACAGGGGTGAAAGAAAGCAACAGGTCTGAAAGGTTTTTTTGCTTTCTAGCAAGGACCAAGCTCTGTGGTACCTTTGTTTTCACTTCTGTGCCTGTGGAGACCCCCCAGGCTTTGTGCGGTTGTTCCCACATCCTGCAGCTCACAAACTACTTGGCACCTCTTAAATATACACTGACCTGAGTCCTGACATTTATTAGTACTTGCCTACTAACTAATACCAAAGTAATCTTGAATCAACTTCAGAAGGTGTGTATTGACATGTTTTCCATTTGATATAGTTCATTTAATACTAGAAGCTTCTGAAATATTTTAGACCAAGGATCCCTTCTTTCTGCTAAGTTTACCTGTGACTCCAAAACTGCAGGCGTCCAGCACTGCGTTCTGTGTGGTTGTCACATTGACCTCCAGGCAGAGTTCTTCAAGGGACCAACTGTTTGCTTGGGCAACATATTGTCTTGTAGCGGTAATGTACGCCTCTGGTACGAACAGGCCACCAAGGCACACGTGGATGTTCTGTTTGGGGAGTGGGAAATAAAGAAGGAAAAGAAAGAAAATAAAATAATAACAATAAAAAATCATCAGCTGCAATATTAATTAATTATTATAATGACTATCACTTCAGCAATCTGTTTACATGAAAATTTTCATGCTGCTACTGGAACACTGTGTAACTGCTAAATGGCTTTTTGCTCTAGAGCTACATCGTCTGTCATTCTAAAATACCAAGTTCCCTCTAACCTGTATGACCAGTTAGCCTGTTAGGCCTCACTGTTTTGAGATCAGGAGATACTCAGCAGTATTTACAAGCACATTTCAGAGAGCGTTGAGTGAACCTGTTTTGCCTGAGCAGCTATTCAGAAGCCTTGATATGAAGACTCCATGAAAGAGTTACTCAGCTCCACCAATAACCTCTAGAAGAAGTCAGCACGTGATACCTTTAGTTCTTTTGCTCCACCAGAAGCGGCTGCCTGGGAAATATTCTGCAGCTGTTTAATGCGCTCACTGAAGTCGGACACCCACTGAATAACAGTCATGCCAGCTGGCACGGTGTAATGAGACCAGCTACGAGGCAAAATACCTGTGAAAATGTCATTAGAATTACGTTTTGTTTGCATACAGGTTGGAATTACACACTAATTTGACACTTTTTCTCCCAATAGCCATTTAAGACTTAAGACGAAGATATCAGTCTCTATCTCAAAACGCTCAGTAAACAAAAGCACTTTCAAAGACTACGAAGCAAGTGGCCTTCGGGTCTACTATTTATTTAAAATGCCATCCAGTTCCAGAAACCCCTCAATACTCCTTCAGTTACAGACAGTTGTGGTCTGTAGTAACTGATCTTCAAGTTTACAAGAAGATTTGAGTTCTATAGAAAAAACTGAAGAGGTTATCTGTCTTTCAAAAGGCACTTCTGTTCAAAGTAGACAGCAGAGCTTCACGAAGCAGCATGTCTGTGAAAACTTCACATTTACGTACAATCTTGAAACAGAAATTCAGAAAACTTGAATATTTTCTAAGAGATTTTATAGGAATAACATTACTGACTTTGTGGTATAAAAACTTTGTTCCGCCACAGTTCAGAGACTAATGGATTTAGTAAGATTTCATCTTAGAAACTGAGCTACTGATAGGAACTGTACAAACAAAAAAGTCTAGTATTAGCTACCTCAACTTGAAATCTCAAACTGAACCAACTGAAATTTTATATTTGACTCAAAACTATCGCTTGTTTCAAGTGATAAAATCAATCCCAATTTTCCTATAATTTTTTTCAGCTGCTGAGTATAACTTAAGAGAGTGCAAGAAGCAAAGAGGGCACTGGGAGATGCTAATTTGAATTATCATACCTTTCACCAGTTCATTTATAAGCGTACGCAAATAGTTGGTTTGTTTCTTTTTTCCTTCACACACTTGAACCACATCTGCAAGGTCCTGACGAACATCCTGAAGCAGCTTAGCTCCCATTTTCACCTCTCTTTCAAAGAATCGGAACAAAGGATCCTGGTTGCCAAAACATTGAAAGGAAGTTGCAGATCAAAGTTCTTGCTGGAAAACTGATACAAAAGCAACCCCAAAATCCTGGATGGGCTGATCCACGACATCATAACTACAAATATTAAACCTGAAGATGCAGCCTAAGGTGCAGAAAGTGACTGCAGAGACTGTTTACAACAATCAATCTCCTCTCCCTTGGAGAAGCAGGAAAAGTAGAAGTCTTAGTTGAACAATTAATGCAGACTGCCTGCTGCAGGTCCTTCCAATCAACCCAGGATTTCTTTTAATCAGCAATAAAATGCTCTTGCCTACTATCTCTCAGTAAGTCTTTAGAAGCAGCGAGGCAATCATGGGCACATTCAACTGGGGAGATTATTCCTGAGCTAGAGCTTAGGGTAGAGCTGTCCAGACCTCAAAAGTTTCCTCTAGCCCTTGCAATTTCTGTTCCCATTTAGCAGAAGCTGCTGCCCTATGCCCTCTCACTGACCACCACTAAATTTTAACAGTGATTAATGTCTGCTGGCTGTAAAGGCAAAATCATAAGTAGCATTCTGGGTACTAAAAAAACAAATAGGAAGCTCTTGTTTCTTTCTACTTCAAGGGGTAGGTAGGGAAGGGAAGCTACAGAGGTGGTGCCCTTGACAGACAGCTTGCCACTGCACATCTTCAAATAATCCCCAGAAGACATAAACTAACCTTTAAGAGCATTTCAAGAACATCAGCACAGCATTACATAGCTATGGCAGTCAGAATCAGCATTGAAACTGGCTCCACTGTGCCCTCTTAACGAGTTTAATCACTACTTAAAAAAAAAATCACAACGCATTTATTCAAATGCATCAGAACTTGTGCACTTCCTATGCCCTCGTTAGACAAAACTTAGTTCTTACCTTAATGTTTTCCACAGTGCGCTTCAGATGGTTTAGAGTTTGTGGGATAAGGTGAAGCCAGTTAGAGGCTGTGGTATGCAGTGTTCTCATCCAGGCCGGGCGACCATCCGATGTAGAATCAGTTCTTGTCTTCTTCTCAGTTTCTGCATAAGCTAGATCATCCTCATCCTCTAGCATCTGCATTTTCAGCATTTTACTGATCATATCTATGCCTGAAACAGAAGATACGCTGTTACGTCAGAGATTACTACTATATGCAAGATCTAGGATGTTTCCTTTTCCCTAGTCTAGACCCATGATTCGGGACTACCCAGCTGCAGGTGGCTCCAGACCTGACAATAAAGCTTTCTAGGATGAAGATGGGAGCCTGACATCTGGAAGGCTGAATGTAACTGTTTTTAATTCAGAAGCTTCTGGTCGGTTTTTTACCTACTCGGGCGTCTTATCTTGTGGAAGTTATATCACCTGTGTTCTGGGAGGAGGGGAAAGCAGGATTTATACTTCCCTTCTGATTTTTATTAGTATTGCAGCCTGGTAATCTAAGAAAGACATTGTTGAAGTTCTGGTTTTACCTTGTGTGGTGAGAAGAACTTTCTCTGCGTTATTTGGCAGGCCCAGCCACGATGGCGTTTGCGTATCTGGCAGCATCTCAACCCACTGGACAAATTCTTCGCGCCTGCAAATAAGAGTTTCAATATTCATTAGAAGGCTTCCTCTACTAGAATGGCAAGGTAGTTCTTTGCCTGAGACAAGTTTACACAGCTAAATTCCACCAGAAATACAGGTTAGGTGAGGTTTTTTGTTTGTGTTTTGTCGAGTTTTTTAATTTAAAAGAAGAAAAGTTGTACACAGAGAGCAGGGTAAGTGAAAAATGATACCTGATTCCATCCGGCATCTGAATATCTTTGTGTCCATCAACTTTGCAAGCCAGTTTGAATTCACTATCAAAACTTAAAGTAGTGAACAGACGTTCCAAGAAAGTGTTTAACAAGCGTTGATCAAATTCATTATCGATACGACCTCCATAGATAGACTGTGCCATCAGTGTCTTTAATGCAGACCAGGGGATTTTATCAGGCGAAATGTTTTGACGACCCTATAAGTAAAATGCAATGTAATTAGCAGGAAACGCTCCTTTTCATGTCCTCTTGTTGAGTAATCAACCCCAAGAACTAAGTTAAATTGCCATCAGGTTATCTGTGCCTACTCATTTAACTTACTATATGTTTCCAGAGCAGACTGTTTTACTGAGGATGTTAAGTAATCTGAGTATTACCTACACCACAAGACACTACTTGCCTTTGCTGTATCATCCAACCATGTATCTACTGTGTCACAGGCAGATCTCAGATCAGATTCTCCAAACTCATACTTCTTGGACCAACCCAATGGAGCATAGCGCAAGCGCTCTTGGATAATGGCATGGAACCAGGCGAGTAGGAAATACAAACGAGCACGCTCATTTGGAGACTAAGAAGTGGAGAAAAACAAATAAAAATAAATACAACTGCTACTTAGGTGAACTGATAAAAAAAATCAAAGCCTCCTAGAATGCTAGAAAATGTCAGATTTAATGCTCCATTGTTACCAAAACTGAATACATGCTAAGAACAGAAGCAGCAATTACTACTTTACTTCCATGAGAAAAAAACAAAATTTCATGTACATCTTAGAAGCTGAGGTTTTATGACATAAGTTAAGAATTTAATGAACACATTATTACATTTTTTTCATCTACACAAACCACAGCCTTACCTTGCACATTCTAGAAACTGGAATGCTACTGAAAGTCCTCAGCATGTTTGCCTTTACACCAGGAGGAGGTTCAAACACAAAGATTCGTCCGGCACGTAACAGGTTCACTGGCACCTAGAAAAGATCAGTAACCTCGAATCCAGCTCCTTCAGCCTTCACTAAATTACTAAATTACTCTAACACCACAGTCTCCATTAGCTTCCAAACCGCACTGTGAGCACGCAGAGTGAAGTCCTGCCTTTCTTCTGGAGGGTAGAGGAAGCAGCAAAAGTAATGGTATGAAGTTTTTGACTACAATTAATTTATCAGAAACCTTGGCTAGTAATTACCCTGACAGGCAGGTCCTTTTTCTTCACTGCAGAAAGATGGTCATGAGAAAACCTTCCTTGGGCAGCACTCTCAGCTCTGCAAACTGATTACTCTACTAGAGAATCAATTTTCAAATCAACGTTACCTTTGGATTAATCTCCATGGTAAGGAAGAGTCTGAAGCAAGCATGAGGTTGTAGGGAATGTAGCTTCTTTTCTAGCTGCATGAGCCAGCCAGGAGCCAGGTGAACATTCTTGAGCATCACCCATCTGTGAAGTTTTAAATCAGAAAAAGTGCTTTTAGTGTACAGCTTATGGATCCTGGCTATAACTACCACAAGGAGTAACAGAATACCCTACCAATGTTACAGATTTTCCTCCCTCTTTAAACCTATCTTCTACACAGAATCAGCTACTGTGTACTGTAAACAACCTACATATCTTCAAACTATTTAAATAAAACAGAACTTGTGAACAGCTGTGCTTGAGTTACTACAAATTTCAGTAGACAGTCCTATTTTTTTTTTTACTGTTTTACCTATTTAGCTAGTATATTATTTCCCCCTTCCCCCCCTGTTTACCTTTCTGCTAGGCAGTACGCTAGTTAAAGAGGAAATACAACTCACCTTCCAGATTTCACTGCTGTGTTTATTGCTTTATCTGCTTGGTTAAACCCTTCAGCAGAACCTAAAAGACAGAAGGGTTGCTAAAGCTCTTGCTGCTAACAATTTTGTTCATGCTTAGATGATGAAATAAAGCATGTTCTCACCAATGGCAATAGAAGTGATCTGTGTGTTCTGCTCAGCTGCAAGGTCTTCAACATGACCACTGGCATCGTAACCAGGTACTGAACACATCAGCACAGGAGTATTGGGTTTCACCTGGTGTCCAAGAAGTTTAGAAGGATACGTACAGATCAGTCACTACATGAACATGAGAATGCAGTAAGCTCAGTCCTTCTTCCCTCTGGCCAGCTAAAGACATTATGCTACTCTTAGCTTTACATTAACGAATAGGAAAACAATCCTCATACCACGGGGAGCAGAAGGATAAGTGGAAGAAATGTTCTGGTGGACAGCTTCCCTCACTATGGAACTCAGGCAAGGCGGCACTAAGCACTACCCCAGGACTTCAGCCTTTCACAAACAAGCAGCTTACCTACCTCTGTATCTACGATGTGTGTCAGATCTAAAGGCTGCTCCATAATGGACATGAAGGACTCTCCAAGATTTGTTGAAACAAAGGTATGTGCCATTGCCAACAAACGATCTGGACGGAAGGCCTGGATCAGAAGCAAACGATGAATGGCCTGTCCAATAGGAGCTGAGAAGAGGAGACAGGATTAGACAGACAGGTAAGAAAACCAACCTCTACACCTTCCTCTCTCCAAGTCTCCAATTTCTCCCATCTTGTTCTGAAGACTGGGTATTTCAAAAGTTAATTATCCCTTTGAAAGATCTCTTGCAACATTTTAATGGAATGCTTCTCTGCTGTCTTCATTTTGACAAAAGAAACGTTACCATCTTCATTTTAACTGCCTGCTCAATTGCTCATGTTGTGAGCCCTTTAAAAGTCTACCTTGACAAGATGCTTTTAGATCAAGATGCTTTTAGATTCTACTGAATCTTTTGGTTTACAAAATCTACAGTCTAGATGCACCAACATGAAGTGATTTTAACCTCCAGGGACAACAGATCTTTTGACGTTTTCTTACTGATTTAATAATCTGCCTCCCAGATAGACTTAAGTATTATATACTTGTCTAGGACGGATAGGATAGACAACCTAGAGTTGCTCTGGTTCCTGGTCAAGCAGCTTTACAATGACTAGTAAACACAAGCTTAGAGTCCTTAATTTAGAAAGCCACCTACAGGAATGAGCCCTGGATGATCACATAGCAAACATTTCATAACGTTACCTTTCAGACACCTGTGGAACTGAAAGACAACAGTTACCCTTAAATTATAACTCTTAACAAATTAGCACTAACAACCAATGCAGCAAGAATTAAGACTTCATGCTTAGATACAACTGCGGGAGGAAACATTCTAGTAGGACAGCCCTGTCCTCAGAAAATCCGTGTCTTGCAGGTTGTTACAAAGAGTATAGAGCTACCCCCAGATTTGCAATGACTGAGGTTAATCCAAACTATTACGTAATCTAATGAGATTGTAGAAGTACGTTTTATCCTCCACAGAAGACCAAATCACAGGTTAAGGTGCAAAGCTAAGCGTAGTAACTATCGCTTACAGAAGTTGTGTGGGTTTTGTTTGGTTGTTTTTGTTGTTAAAATAAACAAAGCACAAAACAACAAAAGCATCAGACTTGAGGTTCTTCCAACAATCCCAACTTTATGATTTTCCCCAACATTAAGGTCCAATTTAAAGCTCTGCTTTAGAATTGCTTTAAAATTACAGTAATTCTACTTAGATTAGTACAGTAGGATTGGCATGGACAATAGCGCAACATAACTTACTTGCGGGTTTCTCTTCAGTCCAAAGGTACGGTACAGTCTGCTCTGGCGAACTGCTATCCAGCCAGATACAGAATTGCTATATTGAAAGAAAATGCAAAACACTTGAGATGGAGTTTCCTGTTCATGGTGCAACAGAGATGTTTAATCCCAGCCTTAAAAATCTAGAATTTAACGTACTGCAGAAGTGTTCACCTATGTACCAACTTCCAGCAGAAAACAAAGATTGCTAGGGTAGGGTTGACAAGCCCCACTAGCTTCGGATTTGCAAACAAATCTTTTAAAATTCTAATAAGTAGCTAAATGCTTAAACCATGAAATGCACAAGCCCATAAGATTTTTTCCCATTTAATGCTCGTAACTTATAATCTATCTTTAGAATAACAATTTAAATTTGAGTACCAGATGAAGCATTTGAGTATCTACGTATGAGTAAGTCTTCAAGAATAAGACAGTGCTAACATTGTTAAACAGAAGCACTATTAAATTAATTAAGTCAAGCATTAAACTTAGCCCCAATTACTATCCAACACTCAACAAAGCTCAGTCCTTTCCAAGGCTTCTAGATATGTATGGTTTCAGTGTCTCATATAAATTGTTTGAACTTTTCCCTGAACAAGACTGTAATTAGACCAGCACATTTAGTAAGTTCTTGACTTGTTTTCACCCAATCGATTGCTTCAAGTTCTGTTGTCTTTGGTTGGGTTTTTTACATAAAAATCCACATGTAAAACCTAAATTATTATTTGTCTACTACATTTTCTTTGTGTGCCCAATCATTTCACTGATATCTCCCAATTCTGCATTGCCTCCAGCACCCCTGATTCTACAGATCTCTAGCAAGTCCCAGCTCGAGCCATATATCATTTTACCCCAGGTTAAATAGTTAGAGGAAAATTAGACGTAGCAAAGAGAATTCAACTGTCAATATAAAAAATAGGCAGGGCAACCAAACAGGTACTATTTTAAATTACGTCTGTCTTTTGGAACATAAGAGTTTCAGAGTCACATCACAAATGACTTCTCAGAACACTTAAGCTACAAGAAGGAGGAAAGAGCTAAGGAGCTGAGCATTCTCCAAATTTATTCCAAACAGCAATGTCCAAGAGCCCACCAGTGACGTTATGCATGGCCAGGGCTGCTGCACTCTATTGCATAATTATCACACAATAGTGGCACAATAAAAGACACGTGGTATCACACCTTTTGCTACCACAGGAACCAAAGCTTACCACAAAGGCAGATGAATAATGACACTGCTTCCAAGGCTAAGTCATGAACAACGCTGGTATTTACAAGTGAAGTTTCATAGCTGGATTACAAATGATTCCACAACAACTAGAACTAGTTCATCTCTAAGGCTTCCCCTCATTTACTAGGAGAGCTTACCTGTAAATGTGAACCTCTTAAAACAGACACCTAATGGGCTTAACCAGACAATTTAGTGCAGAAACAAACCCTGACCAACACTTACCTCATCAGCTTGAACTTTTGAAACAAGGTCCTTAAATGCAGGAAGGCAGCTCAACCTCATCATTGCTTCTGTTTGCTCTACAGTCAAACCATTGATTTTTGGGAGAGATGCAGTGTTCAGTACAATCTCCTTCCCTCTCAAGAAGTGCTGGAATTCTGCATCATATGTAGGTTCCCTAATGTTAAGGGAAAAGAAGACTTTATGTAGGTGCCCTCAAGACATTCCTCCCATTTTCAGCTAAATTGAAGCGAGAAAACAAATGTTTACCCAATAGTGCCTTTCAGTTTAATCCGGGCCAACAACATAGCAAATGTTATATGATCTTGATGCAGCATGCCACGTGCCACCCTGTTGAAAGCCACCTACCAACAAAACAGAAGTCAGTAGCGCAAGAGGCCTTGAACCCAAACCCTTCAAAAACAATAAAAGAATTATATTTACTAATTAAAAGACTGCACCTGAAAGAGATCCTTTGTGATGATTGAGAGGCGATGAGTATGGTCTGTAATTCCCTTCAGATTTGGGTTCTCATACAAGACATTGTGATAGATGTCCAAGAAAAACTGGAGAGAGTATTGGTACAGGAAATGTATCTGAAAGACAAGAGTTATTTTCTCTCTAGAGTCCTGCTGTTCCACAGCCAATGGCTTACACCTACCCAAACTGCAATATAGCAGCTAGGGCTGAAATTAGGAGTGCCTGTTCAGTTTTAAACAGTAAATACATGAAGCTCCTGGTAGGAAGAAGAACTCATCCTACCTGTTTCAGGGACTCCATAGTAAAGTAGATACTGCTGCACGCTGTAGAAAGAGGCAAGTACTGCTGAGAAACAGTCTCCACTTCTTGCATGACAATATCAGTCTCTTCTACTTTTCTGGTGACCTCTGCTGCTTCCCTCTTTAGGTTCTCAAGAGTAGTAATGATGGTGTCATCATCCAGGATACGTCCCTTCACTTCATTAAGCGCTTGTAGTAGGGATTTTTCTAACTGTCGCAAACGCAGCTGAAATTCACCTTAATTAGAAGAAAATTACATTACATATTGTATAGATGTGTTAGTTTTTAAGTATTATATGAATTATGTAACTTTGCCATTAGACATCTTGAAAAAGCAAGAGTATTCACTACAAAGATATTTCACTGGATATTTCTACAGCTACAGTCAAATCACTGAATTCTTGTAGAACAGGAGGAAGTTAAGCATACCCTGAAGCTTGAGGAGGTCAGAGCGTTTTTCATCAACATCTGGTCTTTCAGCTTTCAGAACTTCATTCAGACACTGGCTCTGTAAGCTGCTGCGAGTTACCGTGAAGTTCACAAACGTAACACGAGAGCAGAGGTCTGGTGGGAATTCAACCTATTACAGGAAACACGAAAAACCTTCTCAGTTCCCTGAAATACCATTTCGACCAACAAGAGAGCCTTTCGTTTTACTTACTGTTGGATCTCTGGTGGAGAGGAAGATAACAAAGGATGGTGATAAATCAATATCTTGGTCTCCCAGAGTAATCAGAACTCTGCCTCCAGTTCTCCGGACTTCACGATTCAGAACAGGATTCAGAACTGGATCATAGCTCTCCACATCCTAGAAGCAGAGACATGTTAAAATATTCTGCTGCTTGCAGTTATCTTCAGGCTAAAAATCCTGCTCCAGCTGCGGCTTGAAGCTCTGGTAAGTAATCACTTTGCAGTTGGTTTGGAATATGAATTACATTCAAAAAGTACTTCAACTTCAGATTTGTGCTTGTATAGTTCAACCACAGTGTTTAGACTATTACAAAAAAAAAAAAAATCTCAGGTAAGTATTATTAATGGATGCCATCGTGTTAGTTCTAACACATAATAAGCCCTATTCTAAACAGCACAAGCAACAGTTCCTAATTTCATCTGTGGGCTAATCCTTTTTTATCCCACTTCCACACTAAGAAACAAAAAATATATCTGTCTCAAGTGAAAAATCAACTATTCCTGCAGTTACCTATTTCTTTGTATTACTGAAACTTCTTCTGGTTACTCAGAGTAGATTTAATTCTAGATAACTAGCCATAGTGCTATCATCTCTGACCAGAGGTAGCACATAGAAACAAAACAAGAGACAAATAGGTCTCGCTTTACAGAGTGGAAGTAAGGAAAGATCATTTGAAAATAAAAGCATTTTATCTTGAACTGGTGGAAAAAGAAGATATGTTCTTTTGATTGTGTATCTCACTAATTACATTTTTTTCAAACTAACACTGCACATATAACTCAGTACTAGTTTACTTGTTAAATTATGGTTTGAAAATAAAGTTATTTGCATCTTACTAATGGAACAATTGAAAACTTTTCTAGCACATGGGGCAGAATTCAAGAATTTTAAATTGCTTCTGCAGGATCATGAAACTAACCTGGACTAGAAGTGGGTTACCAAATCTCAAGGCACTTTCCAAGTTCTTCCTGAAAGCATCATCCAAGAAACTCGTACGAGTTATTTTACGGTCTTTATATTCATTCATGATAAACTCTGTAGCTTGTCCGGAGGGATCAATGATCAGTGGATACCTAAGTTAGTAATAAAATACTTTCATTATTTGAGTTTTGACTGCAGACAGCTTCTAAGCAGTTTTATGAATTTAGGTTGCATTACTAGTCTCAACTTTAAAAGCTGGCCAGGTTCAACTACTTATTTCAGTTCAGAGTTTTAAAAGGTAAGTCTGTGTATCTGGGCAACAAAACAGCTTCAGTTCAAGCCAACTTATTTGAACAGCTAAGCTTAACAAAAATGACAAAAAAGATGACTGAGAGATGCTATGTTCGCAAATGGTTGAAAAGCTTCTACAAACATCAGAAGCTCTCATAACAGTGAAACAGTGCTTTGAAAGAGTTACCACGATTCTTTGATACGTACAAAGACCTGCCTGCTGTAAGACTTGCTTTAGAATTCTACACCTTAGAATGAAATACCTATTGAAACGCTTGAGCATGATGGCATTCTCAGTGCACAGATCATCTGCAGGGAGAGAACTTGCTTGCCAGCGAAGCCGCTCATCTGCGTTGGAAAGGTACTCTGTCCTTGCAATGTCTGTGCGGAACTGCAAGAAGCACATACAGGTGGTATTTGACTAGAGGTTCCCCAACCAACTGGTGAGGACGTTTTCAGTAAATACAGCTCTACAACGTATTCTTTTCCAATAGCTCCATTCTTTACTTAGCAATCTTAAAGCTTTATTATTGCAATAAATTCATTTACAGTTAACTTATGATGACTGTGTATTCACCTGGATATTTGCTTGCTGCAGATGGTGAGACCATGTAGTAAACAGATTCTGACGCATCTGCTGATCAAAGTAGCCGGCATAGGCAATAAAAGCTCCTGAAAGTAAGCAGTCTCCTGCAATAGTGGACATTTGGTTCTTGAAAGTTTCACTTGTCTTCTCCCATCTCTCACGTTCAGCAGAAAGACTCTTCAGAAGAGCTGTGCTACGGTTTACCTAGAAATAAATGGTGAAGTAGACTCTGTGGATGATGATTTTTTTATAGTATTACAAATCTCTCAGGACACTTAAATATCGACTGAAGGCCCAAGCTAAATTTAAAATCTCAGAATGAAATTAAATTTGTGTGGGTTTTTTTTTCCCCTGAGTGTTAATTTATTATGTCATTTTAACTCTTACCTTAAGGGACCCGAAAGTGCCAAGTACTAGCACAGACATGACATGCTAATGAGTAGGTCAAGTACATAGGAAATTCTCCACTGGCCCCCAAAAGAAGTCCAGTTAAGGCATTGTAATGACACCACACCCATGTCTGTTTTCAAAGGCTTTCTACTTATTATAAGCCTGATGTGAATTGTCTTGTTAAGCAACGAGCAAGATGAGTTGGTATTTCTAACTCCAATCGGGTTTCAACAGCTGAAGAAGCTTTGTGACAGCCAGATGTGAAACAGACACCTCAAATGCACTGCACAGGGAAAGCAATGAAGTCCACTCACAAGTCTGAACAACAGTTCAATTTCTGACTGTCAAAGATTAAAGAATGGAAAATTACTGATCTATAAAAGTCTTACTTTTGCTTCCACAGCAGCCAAGTCTGCCTTGATAGCTTGAGCCTCCGAAATCAGCACCGCATACTCTTCTTTGTAACGGGCAATACTGGCCTCAAGATCACGAATCATCTGCTCCACTTCATTTGCTTTCTGTTGATTGTCTTTGGCGTCATCCTCCAGTTTCTGCAGTTCGTTGCGCAGAGGTTCCACTCTTTTCAACATATCAGCATAGTTCAACTGTGAACAGTACACAGGTCCTTTATACTTTCTAAAATGACATGTACTAACAAGAACCACAGCATTCAGGTATATAGCATCAACAGCATCTTTTCTAGTTCAGGTACTTGTGACCTGTGTAAGAATTCATAGCTACTTAACAGAAATGCATGATTGTTTATCAATCCCAAGACTCCAGTTTAAACGAAGCACAGACACAAAAGTAATTGCTTTTTGCAGGACCCTTTTGCTGCTCTGCAGATTTACAGGAAGTCAAAAGTTATGAGACCACACTGAGAACTGTACAGCACTGTTTCATGTAAATACTCCACTGGGTGTCCATGCCAGTAGAATGCCAATCTGCTTTTCCTAGCAAAGAACAGAGCACAGCTAAGCCACACACCAATTAGGACAGGGCCTACTGGCAAGATTCAAGCTAAACAGTCTCTCCACATCATATCACTCATAGCAGGCAGTTTTAACAAGTCAAACATTCTGCTATATTAAACATCAGCAGTAAAATCATTTTTGGATATTTCAGTCTGGAAGCATCTTCCCAAAAGCCTATTCCCTTAGGAAACTAGTCAAGTATTTGAAAGCCTGCCTAGAAGCCTAGAAGACCTTAACAGAGCTGCCTGCGAGTACGCCTCAGGCAAGACAAAACTTAGGCACTCTCTATTATTAAGAGGACTGCATTGCCTTGGCCAGCTGAGAATTGTGCTGTCCTGCGGAATGACACTACATACAGAACAGTCGCTACTGCTCACTGTAAACCTGAAGTTTGCTTGTGCAAAAGCTGCATCACAACTGGCCGTTAGTTCCCTGGAACAGCACTACAGAGTCCATAAGCATTCATCTGAACCACCTACTAACTCCTTTGAAGCAAAACAGCTGGCAATATTCAGTTGAACAGAGGCAAATTCAGAGACTTTAGACATTGTTATACACCTTCAGACTTGTTCTTTTCACCCTGTGTTTGCTTCCCCACAGCACTGGATTTTTACCTGTGCAATTGCCCATTTCACCATCGGTCCACAGGCCAGTGATGCTCTGTTTACAATTTCATAGTTGTAACTTGGATTTGACAGGTAGTTTTTCTTCATTTTCTCCCGGATGGCATCGCTGCAAAGGAAAAGTTTTTAGAGATAGCATGAGTACACTGTATGCCACCATACGGGTGGGTGTTCAATATCCCTTTACCCAGCCTGCCTCCCACAGACAACAGGAACATTTACTAGCAGTTTTGCTGACTGGTAGCTGGGATATTTTGATTGGCTCAAGATGTTGTTGCAGGACTTACAGCTTGCACTTTACCTGATTTCCTCAGCAGAGAAGTTAACAATGGTTGGAATGAAGTTCTCTCTCATGATGATGGAACGTATTTGTTTCCAGTCTGTCGTACTTTCACCTAGCAGGAGGCAGATGGACTCCAGCGCTAGCTTAACTGCTGCAGGTGGATTAGCCATAGAACGGACCTCGACCAGGTGCTGCTTCTTGATTGACTTCACAGCTAATCAGTGCCAGAAGGATGATGAATTTTGATTGGGAAGAAAGTGAACAGTTAGCAAAGTCCATCAAAGTACCCTGGATTTGTAGAAATGCTTCAAGATTTTCAAAAAGGAATTTAAAGGTATTCCAGAAGCAAATACCAGTGGATAACATTCAAAATACTATATCACAAGGTAAACTTCTATGAATGTCAGCCTGCCAGCTGGCCACGGGCAACTAACTTACTGTGCTGCCTAGAAATGATTCATTTAAAGCAGTGATTCCTCTACCTGGTTTAACGAATGGACAGCTCACTGGTATGCCATCTGTGCAGCAATAAGGCACCAGTGCTCCTTCTGATTATGAGCTTTCCGTATGAATTCACTGACTGAATACATAACTAGAGCTGCTCTGCCAGAAATGAAGGCACAAGCAATTAGAGGAGTATCAAATATCAGATTGGTACTACAAACAGCACAAAATCACAGCTCAAAGACTAGGAATTTCGTTAACACTGTTCACCACGCTAAGAGCCTGCACTTGTGTTAGAGGACCAACTCAGGAACCACACCAAAACACATTCCCACAGACTTCAGTTTTAGATCCAAGCCCATAGTGTGATCTCTTCAGGTGAGAACATACCATTCTGAGCTTCAATGACAGCAGGCTCCACCTTGTCAAGATCTTCCTTCACACTCATCTGCTTGTCTGCAATGACCTCCTGCTGCTTGTGCAGCTGTTCCTGAATCTCCTGGCTCATGACCTAGGAGGAAATATCATGGATGAAATACAGCTTTTTAGAAGTTGAATTTCTTCCAGTTGAATTTCTTCTTGTGCTGCAGACTTTGTTTTGTAAATAAAAATATTTACTATGCTCAGAAATTTAACACAGATTTTTACCTTTTTCTTCTCAGCTTCCTG